CACAAAAAAATATTAACAAAGTAGATTTTTTGACAAAAAGTGGGACAGTTTGAAATATTTTTTTCATTTCTTCATACCAAGATTAGTATGTGAGTGTGGACATTGTGTTATTGATTATGTGTTATTATTATTTTAAACACAATATGACTAGAAACAGTTTTTATTCATTAGACTACAGGCTACAAAACTATATATTGAAAAGTTAAGTGAGATTATAAATTAATCACAGGCTTCTATTTTTTTAATGTACCTTGTGTGTTGTTTTTGTTTGTTTATATATATGTATGTCTTTGTATGTATGTATGTTTGTATGTATGTATTTATCTGTGTTCAAAATAAACGGGGTTACCATTTAAGGGCCTCAAAAAAAAAAAAAAAAAAAAAAAAAAAAAAAAAAGTTGTATGAATCTATCTCAATTCATATTGTAATTCAAAATTGCAATACATTTTACACGAATAATTATTATTTATATACATTGTATTTGCATTTCTGTTCTGAAAATCAATCCTTCGAGTAAATATCTTACCAATGCTAAATTGCACTAACCTTACCATGGAAAGTTTGTAAAGAAAAATATTGTAAAAAGACATTTTAAAATAAAATGAATCTTCTGAATGTTAAGACACTGAAACAAGAGGGCCATGATGGCCCTGAGGTCGCTCACCTGTATATAGGCCCCCCCCCCCCCCCACCCCCCCCCCCCCAACGTTGCAGGGCCAATTAAACCCAAGGGCTTTTATTTGCACAATCTTGGTAGACACCCATAAGAAGATGTTTCATGCTAAACATCTAAGCTCTAGCTCATTGGGCTTTTAAAAAGAAGATTTTTTTTAAGTTTTTACTATACACATATAGTTAAAAACAATGACACCCCTGGGGCTGGGCCAGTTTTGACCCCAGGGCTTTTATTTGAACAAACTTTGTAGACACTTATTAGAAGATGTTTCATGCTTAATATCTTAACTCTAGCTATTTGGGTTTTTTCAAAGAAGATTTTTTAAGTTTTTACTATATGCATATAGGGAAAATCAATGACCCTGGGGCGGGGCCAATTTTAACCCCAGGGCTTTTATTTGAACAAACTTGGTAGACACTTATTAGAACATGTTTCATGCTAAATATCTAAGCTCTACCTCTTATGGTTTTTGAAAAGAAGATATTTAAAGTTTTTTCTTTCGGTTGCCATGGCAACCAGAGTTCTGCATGGAATTAAATTCTTTGAACAATTTTTAAAGGTGACCACCAAAGGAACATTCCTGTGAAGTTTGGATGAAATTGGCTTAGTGGTTTATGAGGAGATGTCATTTAAAGTAAAAGTTTACGGACGGACGGACGCCGGACGAAAAGCGATCACAAAAGCTCACCCTGTCACTTTATGACAGGTGAGCTAAAAACACAATGTTATTTCATCATTTTTATATGTATATATACACATTGCCCTGCCCTTGTTAAATACTGAAATTATATCTCCACTTTTTCGGCCGGTGCTGTTGAAACCTTTAGTCTGCCCTTTTCACAGAGACACATTGTTTCGCATCTGTAAAATTGTTACAACATAATATGATAAATAAAAATGCGAACTTTGCATTCTGCTTTTAAAATAAAACAATTTTATGTCAAACTGAAAATGTAGGTACTATGAAAAGCAAGATAAGATTGTGCTTTTAGATTTATATTTTTATATTGAATTATCTACAAATAATTCATACATTATTGAGGCACGTTTAGCCTCAGCTTTCTTCTTTAGAAAATATGTTTCATGTTATATTGTTAGAACAAATTTAAAGCATGTAAATTGCCTATCGGCTGAAAGAAGAGCCATAATGTGCCATATAAGTAGGAAATACTGAATAAAATATTTTATTAGTGAAAAAAAAAATATTTATAAAAAATAAGTGGGCGTGGTCATGTACATGTATACTATCCAAGCCACGCACCGATTGCCTGTGATCACAACAAAACAAAGACTTCCATAAAATATATCCCCATTCGGACCATTTCCATTTTCAGCGAGTTGGTCAGAAGACTCCACAACATGTCTTATAAATACCGACAGACACTTTGTGATGGTATGACGCAGCTATACTGTTATAGGCTCAAAAATACTAAAAAGTTAAATTATTTACCAAATACCTCTGTATCGTCCTCTAATCTATCCATGTTAAGTCTGAAATGAGATTATTTCAAATTAAAAAAGACTATACTTTAAAAAATATGTGACTGCTAGACACCGTTCACATCTACTAAACCCTGTACATTTAACTACTACACCCGTTCACTTAAATTTGTTTCCTTTGCTAGACTCTGTACACAATGCAAGGCCATTTTTTGCAAATTTTATTAAAAGACGCTCGAGTTGAAGGGTGTAAACTCAAATATAAGTAGAGGGATGACTATAATTTGTGTTTAATGGCGAATTTTGACACAGCAAATGCGTTTTGGGCTTGATTTAGTGGTAAAAATCAACATCGTTCGCACATGTCAACAAATGCGCTACATTTTTTTGCCAAGTTAACAAAAAAGTATTCAAGTTGCAGACAAAAGCAAATATTGCTCTAAAACCAGAAACATTTAGCTTCACAAAATTGTTTAGTTTGGAAAAATCGATGAAGTTATGATGAAGAAATAAGTTAAAACATCACCATGGGTGTACTCGGTGTGCAGCTTTCTACTTTCGTTTTCGGTGTTTTTATCTATAATCCGAAGACTGACGGAAAGGGCCGAGTAGTTGCGACTGGTATGTTAAATCGTGTATTATAGTATAACTTTTCCTTATAACTACAGCTGTCCTAACTTAATTTTGAGTTTATTTTAAAAGAGAAAGATTAGAATAAGTAGTGAACTCATTTACCGCGAAATTGGCAATGAGGTCAAAGTTATTTTGACTTGTCAATAAATAATCAACTACACTAGCCCCGTTGTAGGTCACGCAGGTAAAATTCCCACGATCACCTGGCCATCTACAGTTAACTATGCGTTGATTGGTTGCTTAGCAAAGATATAGCAAGCTATCCCAAAAACGATTGGTTGACCTATCTTGCGTGGAACGAGGCAGGGAGTGTCGACGGTACGATCAAATTGAATGAAATCTGCTTTACTACCAATTCTACTATTTAGGTCACCAGACAAAAATATTTTCCCACGTTCACTAAAAAAAATTATATCTTGTTCGAGTTGAGTGAAAATATCAACATTATACACATTATGAACCGGAGAAGATTCCGGAGCAATATAAGTAAAACATATATAATAATCGTCTTCAATATTGAAAAAAAACTTATCTAACTTTAGCCAGATAATACAGTCTATTGTATTTTGTATTAATGTGACTCCGTTTCGAATATTGTTCTTAATGTAAACAATTAAACCACCACTCGATCTTTTTGCTCGCCTATGTTGAATTTTTCGATAAGAATGAATAGGATTTGAGTAACCGTGAATATCAATATTGGAGTTCTTATTTGTCCATGATTCACTAAGACATATTATTTCATACTCACACACAATATTCAAAAACTCTTGTGATGTTGTTTTCTCATAGGTTAGTCCTTCTATGTTCCACGAAAGACACTTAAGTACATTCTCACAAGAGTCCTATGTAGATCCGCGATATAGCTGATAGTTTATATTGAGCTTGTCAACTTTGAGGTAAGCCTCTTTGCTATCAGCATGATAGGTATAAGCTTCCTTCGCTGCTCCACGATCTCCTTAGGGAACTGCTCTGAAATCCCGAACTTTGATCCTTTTAGTTTTTCGCTGCTCGTCGGACTTTTTCACGATCGTGAAACTCCGTGAACTTGGCCACTATCGGTCGAATCTTGCCCGGAGTACATGCACGTATGTTTTTAACCAGGTACTGCAACAAATGAAAAAAAAAAGTCTTTTATTGTTTTACTTGTTATAGGTGCTTCATAGTACCTGATTAAGTTAAGGTCGTTCTAAATAAAACCCCACCACCTACATATGCACCCGACGGTAAATAAATTAAGCTCCACCCTCTGCCAGCCTATCATGTACAGTAGAGAAAAACAGAATCCCTTCAGAAAGCCCAACACGGCAAAATTGAAAATGTTTCAGGCTCGGTTTGATTGAGCCTGTTCGCGGACGGTACTGGTAAGTGCAAATTACCGTCGGTTACTTAAACACGAAAATGGTGAAATTTTGAATTTAGAAACACCCGCAGTGTTACATGTATGTGTCAATGAAGTTCTCATGTTTATATTTCCATTTTACCTGTTTAGGCAATGTGCAGATTGAATGTATACCAATGAGTAATTTCAAGTATCAATCATTTGAAAAAGAAAATATCTTGGACAACGCAATGCATGCGCAGTTATCAAAAAGTATACGCACTGAAAAAATTGAAGACATATATATATGTCTTCAATTTTTTCAGTGCGTATACTTTTTGATATACATTCAGTCGAAGTATGAGAAAGTGATAATTAATTACATCCATTCCTTTGAAAATTGCTAAATTAACTCATTGTATTAGCTTCTGTTGCTTACTGAATTCTGAAAGAATGGTAAAATACTTTTGTACATGCATATACATAGCTGTAAGAATATCAAAATACCCCAGTAGTGCCTCTTTAAGACAGGGGCGTGGTTTACGACTTTAAATAGGTTATGTTTACGCACAAACGTACGGCGCTAAAGATCTATTTAATAAACATTTTCATGCAGTGTTGCCTCCACTAATAAATTTTAAAGTATGATTGATTGTCGAAAACATGTCAAAGAATTGAGATTCTTCTCTAAACTAAGTAAAGTTAAGTTAATATTAGTCAATATTTTGTTAATTGGTACATTTCAGAGATATCTGTCATGCGTCATTCATATCACATTCGTTAAATAGTGTAAATCAAAATGATCATTATCATTAAAATCTCTATAATCGAAGTCTTAAGAAAATCATTTGATAATTTAAATACAATGGTAAAAATATTAATAATTAAATGCCGATGTTTTATATGCACTCGCGCTATTTGTGGAAGAACGGGCCTCTGTATGGTTCCCAGCAACAATACTGTAAAAATAATAATCTCGACTTTTGTCCACGTCCATGATTGAGAATTCTACAGAAAAAGGTAATTTTTCCTTATAAAATGCTATTTTTTATAAAAATGATGCGGTTTTCTAAATAAATTGAATTATATCATGCGCATTCTTTTTTGCACAGACTCGATCATCGATGTTACAGGGGTCAGTGCGATATATATAGCCTGTTGCTCGCCAAATGTTACAGACTTATTGTGTCTGGGCGTCTGTTAATAGTTTAATGTATAACAGCACGTTTATGTGTACATTTCATCTTTGATCATTGCATGAATTTCTTTATTTTTACATATTAAAGCCGGGTTTTACCCAAATAAAACGGTGTGCGCGGCATAGATTAGTAGGTCATGTATATGTGAGGTACAAAACGGGGAAAATGCAAAAGTATCAACTGAGTAGTCTTGTGTAATGAATATAAAATACTGTTTCTCTTTTTCATATCTGTCATCAGAAATCAACAAACACTTTGACTGAAAGAAGTCGACACAAATATTAATATGGCAGTTGGCAGTAAGTAAATTGAATCACTGAATATACATGTATTTACATATACCATGCTTGTAATTAAAGCAGTGGAAATAATTAACATGTTTTAATTTAAGAATATTTCAAATAGTTACAAAAATAAGCTTCGGATTATTATGATAGAAAACATTTGTATTGAATGTGAATAATATTCTTTATTGATGTATCAAACAATTATTTAAAAGACTTAAACAAGATTTCTATTATCTGATGTATACAAGTATAGTAGCTATAGGTACAATAAGTGTAGGCACTCAAAATTACCTTATGAAAAACGTTATTTTTAGAGATGTTTTTCAAGTCCCTTTGGCTCAAGCCTACAAATGACATAATCTAAAAGTGACTTGTGTAATTTCTTTCCATTATCACACTGCTTACTTTAGCTTTCCTGAAATCTTGACATTAGATACCGATATATAAAAAACATAGAAATCAACATAAAAAAATAAATATATTATTTCACAACATTAGACAAACAGTATACAGTAATTGCAGAGAAGATCATTTGAAAATATTAAAGCCTTCTTTTTTTAAAAACAAAATTTATCTGAACAACTTGTCATGCAAGTACTTCTGGATAACTCAAACACACACAGGTGCTGATTTTTTTAAATTGTATCAAATAATTCTTCTGTCTACGGAAAAAATAGGAACATATAATTTTGTTTTTATTGTTGAATTAAAAAGAAATTAAATGATGTGATTTGGATTGCTTTATATTCGAATTGCCTACACATACTGTACTTTAATAATTTGCAGATGAAGACAAATATATTCCGGAGTCGGACGATGCAGTACCCATACAATCTATTCCAAATGAGTTACGTTGTGTAAAGTGTCTGGTTAATGCTAGAAATATTGTCTTCGTGAAGTGTGGACACTTATTGTTTTGCACAGTTTGTGCCAGATTTTGCTACGCCTGTCCTTGCGGTGAAAAAGTAAAGGCGTATCTACCCGTGAAATACGAATAAACACGGAAAGAAAAATGGAATGCATCATATATTGGACTGGAGCTTACTATGTAGCACCTGGAAAATGAACCATCTAAACTATGACTGACAATAGCTGATATATAGTTTTCAGGAATAATACAATATTTGGAATTTTGTGCTGGAGTGACAATGTGTTCATTTTTATTTTTTTGTGCATTATTTATGTATTTTTATATAAAAAACAAACAGACAAAAAAAACAACATTTCATTTGATCAGTTAAAGCATTATTACCATAACTTTTTTAAGAATATATTTCAACTATATTGATTCAACATCTGAAAATCATAAATTCATAAGAGTAAACCTTCATATCTGACAATTCCAAGATGTATCATTGTTTCTTTTCCAAGTGCAAAACACATATATATAATTATTACAATATCCTTAGAGACAAAAGACTGTGCCATCCACAACTGGAAATAAATCATATTTTACTACTTATAATTATTCACACAGTTTTGTTAGGTTATATTTCTAAAAAAAAACCACTATATTTTAGGTCCATACACTTATTCTGATTTTTAGTGTTATAGCATATAAACATCATTGTTTTCAACATCTTTCCATATATGATACATTTCACAAGCTATAAACATGTCTTTTCTCTGTCTGTCATTCTGCCTCTTTCTTTCTTTATCTTTCTGTATCTTTCATTTATTCTCTTCTTTTAAAAATAAAAACATATAAAAAGTACTTTTTTTTACTTATATCATTGACCTGCAAAATGACATCTAAATACGAAGAACGGCTCAAACATTAAGAAGGATTTAGATTTTACAATTATTATTTCAAGCTCGATTGTGAAACAAGATTTTAAAACTTAATATTTATCACTTAAACTGAGCCCGCTTCCTGGAAGTAACCAATACTGGTGTCATATAAGGAAACATGGCCACGGCCCCAAAACAAAGATTAAATGGAAACTTCATGACTTGACAGTGGGTAAAAATGAATGAAGAGTATATGTTGTAAAGTAGACATTACTGTGATTGAAAAAAAACGCAACAAAGAATGGAAAAAAACCTTAACCACTTATAAACCAAACGAAAATTGCAGAATTGGACCTTAAATTCAGTACGACTGGATCAGGATCGATGACCCAGATTACTTTCTAAGAATCTAGTCAGGCATCAGCTCGTTTTAAAACAACGGAGGGTCATCTGATGTCTTACTTAAAACGAAAGGAAAACACACCTAAACCGAATATTTTGTCGCTTGAATTACATCTATTGATTCATGTTATTGTAAAAAGCTAAACATCGTCTTGTAATTGAATATATAAGTATTGAAAAATTCGAATACGATGGAAACGTCGACACTTGAAAATTCTCAACATATATCATATTTGTTTCATTCCTAGATAAAAATTCTCAACATATATTGTTACGCCCCCGCGCTTGGTGGTGTGAGCCTTAGCAGTGATCTAGTAGAATCTCTCTTTAAATCTGTTTCAATATGACTTTGCAGTCTGTTTAGCAACCTGTCAATGTGAGCTGTGAGTTGACTTTTTCTAACGTAGGTTTTCAATTTTGCCGTGTTGGGCTTTCTTTAGGGATTCTGTATTTATCTATTTTATCACAGTTTCTGCTGCTCACCGTGACTGTAAATAATAGGGTTGCTCGGGTGATCGCTTCTTGACGTTTTGACTTCCAACTATTTAATTGTTATTTTAAAAAGCAATCTTGGGAAACACCTTAACTAAGCAAAAGGAAAGCAATATTTCTAGAATCAACAAATTTATTGCAAGATAAATATTATTTCACAACCAATTTAAGAACATGTACGAAAACAAGAAGAATGAAAAAATTCGTAACTGAAAAAGAATAGAAATAGGTCATAAAACACGATGGACAGTCGCGACGAAACCACTAATATGACGCGAATCTGTCAATTCCCAAGATAAATAAAAATGCAGCAAAAATATTAAGTATATGCAGATGAAACAAAGAGAAAATTTATATTTCCTTTAATTCAAAGAGGAAATTTACTTATTTACGTCAAAAAAATTAATGCACAACTAAAGTTATCAAAAACAAACGATAATTTTAGTCATCTGCAAAAAATATTGCTGTATTTTGAACATTAAATTAAGAGTTTATTGAGCGCCGCCTTTCCATGTTGATCTTGTTTATCATATTTTAACAAGGATGTCAATTCCGTAAATTTAACGTTACTTGCTGGTGATTGTGAACCCTACTTGTTAGTTTACACATTGTATCTGTACCCTGACTTGTGAGTATTAAAACGTTGATGATTAAACTTGGTGCCAACACTTATTCCAAAGATCCCACATTCATCTTGTGTCTTCATGGGCGTACTTTGAGTGTTTGTTACACTAAGCTACTGTCAAGACCCTCAATTACAAATGATTAATCCAAATCCATCTGAAATACATAGATATTATTAGTTATAAATGTCGCAGTCCAATCTAACGATATGCTAAAGTTCTGCTTAGAGGTTCTGGGCTTGAGGCTTGCTGTAAAAATACAGAGATGCGCTCTCAGAAAATATCAATTATCAAACAATATGAAGTCTGGCTCGCACCATGAAAATCTTTAGTACGAGTGCAAATACAGAATAATGACAAATGACACAAAATCATGAATGGCAAAATGTAGAATAACAAGTATGGGATCAATACAGACATTCATATTTACCTGTAAAAATAAAGAGACGCGCTCTCAGAAAATATTTATTATCAAGCAATATGAAGTCTGGCTCGCGCCATGAAAATCTTCAGTACGCGTGCGCAGGCGTGAAGGTACTTAGTGCGGAAATAGAATATTTAGGATTGAGGCCCGTGCAGTACATAAGTACTCCAGTTTACAAAATTCTAAAACCCCCAAATCATGCATCTTCAACTATCATAATCAATCATATGATCAGAGTACAAACAATAATTCATACTAAAAATGTTCTCACAACAACCATCAAAATTGCAGCAAACAATGTACAATCTGGGTAATGTTTCTATTACTGCAAACAAAGTGTTATGTCGTCCACTCAGGGGATGATAACAATCTTGGCTATCTTTTGCTTCGAACTGGGCGACTGGGACAAACGGTTTGGCAAATGGGTTGAGAACTGATTTCCTCCTTGCTGTGATTCTATACTTCTCAGGGGAAATATGTGAAGTAGGGATAGAAGCAGATGGAGTTTCATTCAAGGGAATACTTGAAGAATCTGCCACTGTTGGATCAGAACATTGATTAGTGGATTCGGTGGACTGAAGTTCACTAGCATCAACAGTTTGAGACTTAGAAGTATGGAGAGGAAGACCCATAAAAGGTAATAAGAGGTTTCTATGGACAGTCTTGGAACCTCAGACATGCTCTCGTTTTACAACAAATACGGGTATGTCTGGGTTGGGTTTGAACAATATAAACATCTTTGCCCCATTTATCAGCAAGTTTGTTCCCACGTTTCTGACCAGAACTCTGTCACCTGGCTCAATTTTGGCATGTCTTATTTCACATTATTTTACCCTAAGATCATACCGTCGCTTATGGCGACGTGACTGCCGCTTAGACTCACGACTGGCTACTTTATAGGTGTAGCTCAGGCGTTTCTGCAGACACATGGCATAGTTGGAATGACTCCGGGATTTTTCAGAATCTTCGGGTTCAATTCCAAGGAAGGCATCAATTGCTAGGCGTGGATGTCTACCAAAAATTGGAAAGTGAGGTGTTAACCCGGTACTTTCATGCCTAGTCGAATTGTAAGCAAGTTCCAAAGGTGGTACATGAGCCTTCAAATTGGACTTCTGAGAATCCCCAAGAGTTCCCAACATATTCAAAAGGGTTTGATTGAACCGCTCCGCCATACCGTTACCTTGTGGGTGATATGGGGTGGTTCTACTCTTCTCAATGTTAGCCAACTTACACAGCTCAAGTATAACAGCACTTTCAAAATTGAGACCTTGGTCACTGTGTAAGTGGCTGGGAAACCCGTAGTGACAGATGAACTGTTCAAAAAGGATTTTAGCTGTAGTATGAGCTGTCTGATTCCGAGTGGGTATAGCCTGAGCATAACGAGTTAAATGATCGGTAATGACCAGTATATGCTCATACCCACCGGAAGACATTTCAAGAGATAAATAGTCCATACAGACTAGCTCTAGGGGAAACGTCGATTCAACTGAGACAAGGGGTGTTGCAGTACTGACTGTCGTCTTTCGCCGGATAAATCTTTGACATTCTCGTATGCGTCTATTAACAAAAAAAATCTAGACCAGGCCAGTAAAACCGGGATTTAATCAAGGAAAGGGTACGGTCTCTACTCTGATGACCAGCTTCGTCATGCAGCCCTGAAAATATAATTTCAAGAAACACAGTGGGGGCTAATAGCTGAATAACTGGGTGTCCAGAAGCAAAACCATTTCTGTAAAGAATACCTTCTTTCAAGAAAAGATTAGGCCACTCACGTAAATACTGACGTACTGAGTCTGTCTCGTGAAAACTCTGACGACTGGTTAATTTATGACCGGCCTTGACAGTGTTAGCTACTCTGGAAATGGTAGGATCATTACACTGTTCTGTCAACCAATTGATGTCGCTCAAATTGGAACCAATATCTACTTCTTCAGAGGAAGGTGTATCAAGTACTTGTTGAGAGATGGAAACACACTCAAACGCAGGGAGTTCATGCACATCAGCTAAAGTAGCTTGAAACAAAGCCTTCAAAACATATGGAAACATAATACGATACATACCTTTATCAATCTGAACACTTTCTGGTAACCTTGATAACATATCAGCATCAACATTCTGCTTACCGGAACGATACTGGATAAAAAAAATGAAAGCTAACCAGCTATGAGACTGAGCATCCAACTTGGCTGAAGTAAAAGCATAAGTGAGTGGGTTATTACCAGTATGGACAAGGAATTTATGACCATAAAGATAATCGTAAAATTTCTCCACCACAGCCCACTTCAAAGAAAGGAACTAAAGCTTATGAGCGGGATAATTGCGTTCACTAGGTCTAAGTCCACGACTGGCATATGCTACCACTTTCTCTTTTCTCTCAACTTCCTGATACAAGACCGCTCCTAAGCAAACATAACCTGCATCGGTGTTCAGAAAAAAAGGGTTTGGACCAGTCTGCATAAGTTAATGTGGGAGCTGAAGTCAACTTTCTAATGATAGTCTTAAAAGCTCTTTGCTGACTTGGACCCCAATTCCAAAGAACAGCTGGTTTTGTTGACTTCGCTTTCTTGTTGGTTGAGTGACCAACAAGTAAGTCATTTAAAGATTTTATATGAACACATCTGCGGATGTTTCAAAATTCCAAATTGTACCAGTTCGTGTTAAATGTTGAATTCTGCTGAAGCCCGTGCTAGGGGGCGTGGACGGTAACTTGCACTTTCCAGTATCGTCCATGAACCGGCTCAATCAAACCGAGCCTGCAAACTTTTCAATTTTGCCGTGCTGGGCTTTCTTTAGGGATTCTGTTTTTCTCTATTATTTGGTGATCTGAGAAAATCCAATGAAAAATCGACGGTAATATCCCGCAAAACCCAGGAAAGAACGAAGATCTTTAATGGACTTTGGAATAGGCCAATCTTTCAGGACACTAGTCTTCTCAGGATCTGTTGGAACGCCATC